CGTCGGCTCCACCCCCTTCACCTTCGTCAATGCCTGCACCAAGGCCAACATCGACGCCGGTAACATGTTCTTCCTCTACCCCCCCTGAGAGCAACAAGTACGTCCAGTGCGACATTACCGGCGTCTACTACATCCGCCCCTGCCCCGCGATGATGCATTTCAGCCTCCCCAAGAAGGAGTGTGTCAGGAGGGATGACAGCGATGATGTTTGAGTGACGTAATCACAATGATGCTGTCGGTGCGATACCATCTGCTGTAGCTCTTCAGGGACATTTCTTCAGTTCTTTGTAAAACATCTAGTTTGTCTTTGTGGAATGATATTGGTATCTATACTCTCCCAAAAAAGAACATCGTGAAAATAGCAATTTCATGTAGCAATGAATTAAAACGTGATACATTTTACAAAAGGTTTTGCTCTGTTTATGAGTCCTATGGTGTTTATGTTTTGAAACATCACAACAAAACGCACCATCCGTAAAATACCCGTATTTAACAGCATGATTTTCAATTTCGGCGTGTAGTGTCACAGAATACACAATTCACATGCAATGCACGTGAAAGTTGGGGATCATATAGGGTCAATAAAAGGTTGATCGCTGTCTGTCGATTTTTCACTGTATTTGGAATATTGCAAAATGCCACGTCTAAGTGAAGCCAACCGTCATATCGCCATTGGTTTGCTTGAAGCTGGCCAGTCTCAACGTGCAGTTGCCCGACGCATGAATGTTCACCAAAGTCACCATTTCACGGCTCTGGGAGAGATATCGCCGGCAGAATTCGGTAGCAGCTGCCCCTCGTAGTGGGCGACCTCGAGCGACCACTGCGGGTACATCACCTGCGTCATTGAACAGCTACGGCGACCAGTAGCGCTCGACAAATACCCGGATTGAGGAGGCTTTCTGCACAGACCGTCAGGAACAGGTTGAGAGAGGCTCGTTAACGTGCCAGAAGACCTTATTTTGGGCCTGTGCTTCGACAACAACATCGTCGACTAAGAGTTCAGTGGTGCACCAACGTTCAGGCATGGAATCTACCGAATTGGCGTAGAATCTGGTTCAGTGATGAATCGCGATTTCTCTTGGAACGACGCGATGGAAGAATGCGGGTGTACAGACGTCGACGTGAACGTTTCGCCGACGCTTGCGTTTCCCAGGTGGACAGATTCGGCAGGGAAAGTGTTATGATGTGGGGAGCGATCACCTGCCGTAGGAGAAGTGATTTGGTGATGATCCATGGCAACCTGACAGCTCAACGGTACTGTGACGAAATCCTACGCCCACACCTCCTTCCAATCATTGATCGCCAGAGGGAGTTGTTTCAACAGGACAATGCCAGGCCCCACACAGCACGTCACACTAGAGACTTCCTCCAGAACCACAACATCAATGTGGTCCCATGACCCTCAAGATCGCCGGACTTAAACCCGATCGAACATCTGTGGGATGCCCTGGACAGACGGGGGCGACGCCGTAACCCTCAGCCCCATACACTTCAGAAACTCGCACAGGCACTACAGGCAGAGTGGGCTGCGATTGGGAGATTCTCAGACTTATTCGTTCGATGCCGAGGCGATGCCGTGCAGTTCTGGACGCCCACGGTGGTCACACGAGGTATTGACTTCAGCGCAACCACACGTCTCCATGTGACACTCAAACTAACTTTCCTCGAGTTGGTGCCTAAGACGGATAAGTCTGCATTCCCAGTGTGCAATTTCGCTATATTTCATTGACTCATAAAGCCTACAAGATGTTTCAAAATAAACATAAAAATACAGTTGAAATTCCTATATGCGTTTCTTTTTTGGGAGAGTATATTACCCTCAACTATGCTTGAATGATGTAACTGCTTTTGATATTTCTGTGTACCTCTTGGTTGAATGTTGAAGAGCTTATGTAATGTTAAAAGCTTTTGTGACGTTTTTTCTGTGCATTGGCCTCTTGTGGATAGTTGTTAATGAAGATTATCGTTTATAAAAGATAGTCAAGATACAGGTATAAGATACGTACAGTTGAAGAATAACTTATTATGAGGATATCCCGAATAATATGTAATCAAGATTTAACAGGTCCATATGCAGAATGTATGTACAGAGATGTATAAAGATAGTGTCTATGTTTCTTATACAGTGTGGTGTTCTATTGAGTAATGAACATTTGTATCTGGATCAGCTCTCGAGAAATGTTGGCTTCATAGAACTGTCTGTTCTTCATCATAGGAAATATTGAGTACGGTGGATCGTGAGTGAGTTGGATTTTACGCCGCTTTTAGCAATATCCCAGCATTATCGCGGAGGATACCAGAATTTGGTTTCAAACATTGTATCCATGTGGGAATCGAACCCACACCTTCAGCGTGACGAGCGAGCACTTTAACCGCTATTCTACCCCTACGCCCCGGTGGATTGTGTCTTCTACAGTACACGTGTATCTGTTAACACAATTTCTATTCATGACAACCACATGACAACCTATCTCGGCGGAGGCTCTTTATCTTCACCAACCTGAGCGTGGCACAATAAAATCAAATCTTTACAAGCGTGCAAAAGACATATACCCCTTTTTGTTTTAAAATAAATGTCAGTCGGTATTGTATGTTTCTGTCATCAATGTCATCCTTGTCATCCATGAGGCGATAGTTGAGAACAAACACAAGGCTGTATAGTGTGTTTCCTGGGTGTTCCCACTGAAGGTCGAGACTTGACTCTGTGTGACTTGTACAGTAGTAGTCAATAGGGTTCCCAAGAAAGACTCGGTCTATAAGAAAATATAGTAAAGACGTGTAGTTTAATCATACTGACTGAGTTTGACTTTACGCAGCTTTTAGCAATATTCCAGCAACATCACGGCGGGGGACACCAGAAATGGGCTTCACACATTGTACCCATGCAAGTCAAAACATTGATTACACAACAGTCTCGTTTCCTGTTGACTGGGTTCCGTCCTATTGCGCAACTTAGTACAATAACCAGTCCACAATTTTGAGACCAGTTCATTTAACTGGACACATAAATATTAATCAGTATTTTTTGATACATCTAAGCACTTGTATATTGCAACACTACCCTCCTTATAATCATTGCAAACACGTCGTGCAGCGTGCTCTGTCGTACAGCGAGCACTGACAAACAGAAACCTGGAAATCGTGGGAATCTCAAAACGAGGCTCTGCCGTTAGAAAAGTTTGGCGGTCTGGTACGGAATTGTGCGTTACAGAACTACACTGAATAAGCGCAAAAACACATAACAGATGTAACCAGTGGGTCAGATGCATTGTGAATCATTTTACGACCTCATCAAACAGGGGCAGTCTGTGAGGTCTTAGTTAAGGTCATGCTGCCTACACCTCGCCATAAAATATTAAAATACGATGTTATTAAAGTTTAAAATTAAAATTCATTTGTAAGTACCATTTTCTTTTGGAACAAGGAATTTGAATTCAGTGTAACCATAGTTGTTTGTGATGTCTGTTTTCACTTTCACACGAGAAAATTCGGATCGGCTGAAAAGTAGGTCATTGTCTGAATAGGTTAATGAGACTCATGTTTCGGTTTGGTGCGCCAGAGGTTAATGCACACAACAAGCACGCACGCACACGCCTTCCAAATTACTTACCATCATAGTTCAGATCCCATCTGCTGACGTCACACGTAAAGCTGACGATGACCGCGATGAGTGATGATATCACTGACGCCAGTAACGTCGTGAACATCTCCGTGACGTTGTCAGTAATGAGATTTAAGCCAGCTACTCGTGAACAGTAATACCCTCTGATGCCTACTGAGCTGGAAAGTTGCTGGGTCCCTATCACTGCTGATGTTGCACTGAGGGATGTCTGTGAATATACCAAAGGGACACAACCGTTTATGTAAAATGTACGAAATTATTAATCCAAGTGTTCAGTCATGGACGAAATACATTTCACTTCGTTCATAGTAAACGTATACTGAGATGTGGATTGACACAAATACTTATGAATCAAAGTATATATGCTGAGTATAAGGATGAATACATTCTACACATTATGATCATGAAATGATTCGAATGGGAAGTACGTCACAGTGATTAATTTATGAAATTCACTAAATCCAAAGTAGTTATTGTTCCAGATGTGAACACTAATCTGATAAAACCTACCCTCCAATTTATCTTTCGAAGTGATGTTTAAACTGGTGCAAACCCGAAACGATTACGGTTTATGATAAATATTTATCTCAAAGAAGCATATATGTCTATATTTCACATGCACTGTCTGACCTAACAAGCTGTTGAGTGAGTAAGCTGGATTTATCAAAACGAATCTGAGATTCAAACCAACGAACAGAGGTTTGTCGCCCGCCTGGGAGACGTAATGCCACACAACGAATTGTTACACCTTGGATAAGAGACATAATTCATGACAAACTTTTCCCGGGTTTTTTTCGCCATACCTATGTGTCTGAGTTTATTCAAAATACTTGCATCACCAGTTGGAGAGCCATCCTCAAACGCAGACAAACTGCAGCGAAAACATGGTTGCGCAACAGAGAAAAATGTCCAGTCTTCCTGGTCACCACTCGCCCCTTTCCGTAATATGTCCCGGTATAAGACAAGTGGGTCACGAATGATCGGGCAGATTTTCCTGTCCATTCGGAAATATTCGGACGCGCTCGCTGTCATATCGGATTCTTAAACGCATCACATCATATCAGAAATTTGATTATAAAAATCAAAGCCTCTCGCAAATTACTTTTGTTCGAGGTGATGCGAGTATAAAGGAGATACAAACAGATCTAAATAATCTTTGGTTGTTGTAAGTAAATTTCATCTGTTCGTTTCGTGCGCCATTATAACCCAGAAACATACTGTCATAGTTTCGAATACAGGATTCGTTTCTTGGTTTGTCAGTACGTGCTCTGATCTATAGAATTCATGAAAATAATTAAGATTGGAGACCTGTATCATTTTAAAATGACACGTTATGAAAGTCATGGAAATAAGAATTTATATGTTAAACAAAACTCACTCAGACGAATGGTTTATCTGCTCTCTGGTCCGACATCACTGAACTGAAACTAAAGCCAATGGCGCATCGTTGGTCTGAAACCACGAAGAAGGAATCTCGCTCGACACAGCCAGAGGACAAACGGGGACTGCATGCTCCAACTACAGCGCAATCTGGGATCTTCAATGGGCCAGCATCAGTCATATCCACAGGTCTTCCCATTAGTGTAGAGTGAGTTCCATCGTATCCATTGATGCCAGTGTAGCGGCTCCTGTCCGTCTGAATAGGGTACTCTGTACCATGCAGTGCCGCTCCTCCACGTGGAGACTGAAGCAAGGCTTAGAGTGAGTGAGTGAGTGTCATTTCATCAGTTCCCTTATTTTTTGTCGGTAGTATATTATTTCATGTGTGACATGGACAAGCTGATGCAGGTAGTATACGAACACAAATCGGTGAAAATCAGAAACACATTCCTTGCGAACCAAACCATATTTGTAATTATGTAATGTATCGCCCCGTGCTCCAATATGTGTCTGGATTGTTGGCTTGGGACTACTCTTCCACTCGTCAGTAAGAGCATAGCCGAGTTCCTGTAGATTTGCGGGAAGGACATCAGAGGCAAATCTGAAGCTCTTTCGAAATATGTTCGATAGCGATGAAGTCTGGTGACTGGACTGTGACTTCTTGCGGACAATGGTCTTCTGCTCTAAACCGATCCAAGGTATTTACAGGAAGCCTTCATGAAGCTAGAGCTCAGCGTCAAACAATAATCATAAAGTAATACAGTAATCATAAAGTAATACAATAATCATAAAGTAATACAATAATCATAAAGTAATACAGTAATCATAAAGTAATACAATAATCATAAAGTAATACAGTAATCATAAAGTAATACAGTAATCATAAAGTAATACAATAATCATAAAGGAATACCGTTTCACTGGATGCCCACTTGTCCAGAAATCTGGAAATAGTTACACTGTTATGTTAATGTTTATAGTATGACACATTTGAAACTTGAATGGTACAAATGCTAAATTAATCCGATATCTGGAAATAAAAGGATTAATACATGTATTTATTATTTTCGATCATTTCTGATGAAATCGGCAAGTGATTGATTGATGGATGAATGTTTGAATAAATGCAGAAATGAAGAAAGACAATATATTACATAATGATTTTTACAAAATCTGGATAAATCAACCACAGGCTCTGAAACGTACATCAACAATGTGCATGAATTTGGAGTAAGTGCTCAGATTGTGCAGGAATCGTTGACTGACTGAATTAAGTGAAAATAAACTTTCAATTTTTATTATTATTCTTGCTATCCTTATTCAATAAATACTAGGTCCGGAGAGGGACAAGGTTGTTTGCACATTCTTCGCATGTTTACTTGTGACATTTAATATATCCAAGACTATATTATTTTCAAAGTAAGATTGTGCATCCCTTCGGGCATTGTATATTTTACAGTGTTTGGTTTGTGAATATTCATCAACAATCGACTAATAGAAACTCCAACTCACCCAGGTTATCAACACCATCACAGTTCAGATCCCATCTCCTGACGTCACACGTAAAGCTGACTGTGACGTCACCGAGTCGGACTGGTGTCACACTGAAGGTGCGTGAAGTTACAACGTCGCTGGTATCAGAAGCGTTGTGGTCTATCAACATCTCCGTAACGTTTCCAGTAGTGAGACCCACGCTTGCCCCTCGTGAACAGTAATACCCTCTGATGTCTACTGTCAGTGTGAGGGTTGTATTGGGCTGGAGAGTTGCTAGATCTGCATCACTGCTGATGTTGCACTGAGGGAGGTCTGTGAAATAGATATTAATGTAGACTGAAGTAGAATATATGCGTGATGACTTTTATAGATGTGTATGATGGTACTTAGCTAACGACTAAACGGCCTACTGCAGTGTACGTCTTACGTACACATTTCACAGCCAACAGTTTACTGTAGAGTGCGCCTCGCCTACAGAGACGCTTACCTAATAACTTCATGGCCTAATGTAGGGCTTTCTTCCAAAACCCCTACATCCCATAACCCCTACAACCCAGTACCCCTTAGTCTAACAATTAGTTAACACAACACGCGGCATTTACCTGTCTGGCATAATGAACTGACCCAAAGGAGAGATTACAGGGTGGAGTATACAGTGTGAGATTAAGCTGCACAGAGTATACAGAGGAGAGATTACAGGTGGAGTATACAGTGTGAGATTAAGCTGCACAGAGTATACAGAGGAGAGATTACAGGAGGAGTATACAGTGTGAGATTAAGCTGCACAGAGTATACAGAGGAGAGATTACAGGTGGAGTATACAGTGTGAGATTAAGCTGCACAGGGTATACAGAGGAGAGATTACAGGTGGAGTATACAGTGTGAGATTAAGCTGCACAGGGTATACAGAGGAGAGATTACAGGTGGAGTATACAGTGTGAGATTAAGCTGCACAGGGTATACAGAGGAGAGATTACAGGTGGAGTATACAGTGTGAGATTAAGCTGCACAGGGTATACAGAGGAGAGATTACAGGTGGAGTATACAGTGTGAGATTAAGCTGCACAGGGTATACAGAGGAGAAGGGACATGTAGACGGGGGCTGGTTTTCAAGGACACCCCAGATATTCAAGCTGGCACTGGCACTATATTGAGAGCTGAGATTTGTGTGACCATTCAGTGTTTAGTTTAAACCCTTGGCATCATGTATGAATAAGAGAAAACATGAGTATCTCAAAAACCAGCTCTTTCAGTAAACATGAAGGGGGAACCACTTTAACAAGCCACTGTAGTTTCAAATTGCTTTTTATGCACTTTAATATTTAAGTTTGATTCTAGCGGACTTCTGCCTATCTCAAACACACAAAGTGTTTCTTGCATATTTTGTTGCTTGAAGTTTGTGATGCATTTATTGCAGATTTTGCTTTTTGGGGTGAGTACCAAGACACAAAGTCAAACAAAATGGGGATCGTGAGGCTAGAACATAGCAAAACCAATTTGTTTGAGGTTAACAGATAATATGTAGAAAAATAAAACATAAAAAAACATTTAATATGTTATGACATTAAGATATTTAATGAAGTTAGTTAAAACCTAATATGTTTGTGATCATCCACTAAAACCATTCTCAAACTCATAGCTTGGTTATTGCTCATTAAAATCACTCTCTCAAACTCATAGCTTGGTTATTGCTCATTAAAATCATTCTCTCAAACTCTTAGCTTGGTTATTGCTCATTAAAATCATTCTCTCAAACTCATAGCTTGGTTATTGCTCATTAAAATCATTCTCTCAATTGCTAAGTTTTTGGACTGGTCCATTGTATGAAATAGGTAACAGGCAGAAACTTAGAAGTGCACTGGAGCTTGAACTTTGTTGTAGTAAGCTGTAAGGGTTATCGGGAGGCTACCTACTGTAGAGTACGCCTCTCCTACAGAGGTGTAAACCTAACGATTTCATGGTCTACTGTAGAGTACGCCTCGCCTACAGAGGTGTATACCTAACGATTTCACGGCCTACTGTATAGAGTACGCCTCGCCTACAGAGGTGTATACCTAACGAATTCACGGCCTACTGTATAGAGTACGCCTCGCCTACAGAGGTGTATACCTAACGATTTCACGGCCTACTGTAGAGTACGCCTCGCCTACAGAGGTGTATACCTAACGAATTCACGGCTTACTGTATAGAGTACGCCTCGCCTGCAGAGGTGTATACCTAACGAATTCACGGCCTACTGTATAGAGTACGCCTCGCCTACAGAGGTGTATACCTAACGAATTCACGGCCTACTGTATAGAGTACGCCTTGCCTGCAGAGGTGTATACCTAACGAATTCACGGCCTACTGTATAGAGTACGCCTCGCCTACAGAGGTGTATACCTAACGAATTCACGGCCTACTGTATAGAGTACGCCTGGCCTATACAGGTGCTTAACTATCTATACTAATATCCTGTTAGTGTGCTGAAAACCGGGGTTCTTACTTGTGCATCATATGAGTTCCATCGTGCTTACCCGTGAAGGTCCGGGGTAGAATATTGGCCTTCAATAACCCATGCTTGTCCTAAGAGGCGACTAACGGGATCGGGTGGTCAGGCTCGCTGACTTGGTTGACACATGCCATCGGTTCCCCATTGCGCAGATCGATGCACATGCTGTTGATCACTGGATTGTCTGGTCCATACTCGATTATTTACAGACCGTCGTCATATAGCTGGAATACTACTGAGTGCAGCGTAAAACTAAACTCACTCACTCCATCGTGCTTATTAAACAAAATACTGCAAGGAGACGAGGGATGTCGCACGTAGATGACGATTTGCGACACAGAAATACACGTGTTTCCTTGACAACCCTGGTCCTACACCATTGAAATCAAGAACATGAAATACTCACTCGCCACGGTCAGCTGGCAACTTTGGACGGGAACAGCACCAACTGTTGTTGCATCCATGATGCTCCAAGTCCCAGCATCTGCCATCCCCACACTGTCTATAGTCAGTGTAGTGTGTGTAACATTCACGACTCCACTGTATCCAGCCACAGGGCTGCAGCCTGGGAAGCATGTGACGACATATCGGCTATCAGGTCGAACCCACACAAAGCCAGTGTAGCGGCTCATGTCGGCCTGAATAGTGTAGTCTGTACCAAGTAGCGCCACGCCTCCCGAACACGGGGAGACAACTGCAGCAACACCTGCAGTGAGTGAGTGGAGTGAGTGAGTGAGTGAGTGAGTGAGTGAGTGTACGTGTGAGTGCGGTGAGGTTAATGGGTGAGTGGGTGAGTGAGTGAGTGAACGTGTGAGTGAGGTGAGGGGGTGAGTGAGTGATGGAGGGAGTGAGTGAGTGAGTGGGTGAGTGAGTAAGGTGAGTGAGTGAGGCGAGTGGGTTAGTGAGTGTGTGAGTGAGCAGGTGAGTGGGTAAGGTGTGTGAGTGAACGTGTGAGTGAGTGAGGGGCCGGGTGAGTGAGTGATGGAGGGAGTGAGTGAGTGAGTGAGGAGGTGAGTAAGGTGAGTGAGTGAGGCGAGTGGGTGAGTGAGTGAGTGAGTGAGTGAGTGTATATTTACATTATTATGGCCGTAATCGATCTTTGTCACAGACGGGAATTACAACCACCCTTCCCTTACCCTGACGGTTACATAAAAGTGACGTCAATGCATAGATCAAAGCTGAAATTGGTAATGCGACAAGCAGTATAAACTCACTGTAAGGAATGTATGCTATCCAGGCAAGGAACACGTAGAGATGACACTGTGCCCACATGTTTAAGGCCGATTTCAACTGCAACAAAAAATATTAAATTCTGGTCTAAACGTTTATGATTAATCATGGTAACAAATTTCTCTTTCGTAGAACCACCTATAATACCTTAAGCAACAGAAAGAAAAGAATAATGAATATGTAAAAAAAACCCACGTATTTCTGTCAACTCCGGGTATATACTAAAGACACTATGTCACACCACACTTCTCGTAAAAAATAATAATGCATTTCTCTCAATAATACTATCAGTCCTCGGGGAAGCTATCATATAATTTATTCCCACAATTACGCATTTAAATTACAATATTAATTAAAAAGTTCGAATGAATTAATCCAACGGTGCACTCAACAACCCGAACATAACTTCAAGGGAAGTCGTAAGGGATAATACGTCTTTTATTGAATCAATAGAAAGCTAAAGTGAGTGCATATGCCCCAATATGTATAATATAGGCCAAAATATTGTCGAAAATATGTGACATTGTGCCTTTAAGGCAAGTATAAAATATTTCTAATCCCTGTCACAGCTATCCATATATACTATCTTACATGCATTTAAAGAGGATAGTTACAAAACAACACAGCTTGTATATTAGTCCCAAGCAGACAGGGTAAGCTGCATCCAACAACAGAGAGTAGGGTCCACCCCCGAGATTACATGTGTGTCTTTATCTGTGGGTACACAGGGTTGTATTAAGAGTGGAACAGTTATAACAGTTTAGTTTATTTATGGGTATCAATGCTCCACAACGAAGCACATGTGATACATGTGGTCTCACCTTAGGCCAGTGAGTTTGTTCAAAATTGCCTCAGCAGAAAATGAGTACCCGGTGGGATGTCATGTGACTTTCACTTTCTAGCGCCTCAAAGGCAGCATGGGTTATCCGGGGTAATAATGAACAGTGGAACTCTGTTAGTGTTTTGGTGTGGAGTATAGCGAAATATATATATATAAATATATAAAACCCAATAATATTTATGTTTGACATTTTCACAGCTTGATGTTCACACGAAGTTCTGGCAGATTATGAACGATGGATGGTATCATAGATCTACGTGTAGTAGCAAAAGAACAGAAAAAATGAACTAACGTTAACTAAAGTGTCACTTGACCATACAAACACGTGAACCTCCTGATTATTCTTTATCCTGTACCACATGGGTGCAGTGTGTGAAACCCATTTCAGGTGTCACGTGCTTGAATATTGCGTGAAAGCGACGTAAAACTAAACTCACTAACTCACTCACTTTAATCAATCCATTCATCTCCCCATCTATCGGATCCATTAATCCATCCAAGAGTAAAGACAGCTATGGATAGTTAATGACATCTTTATGATACCAATTGCGTCACGCAAAGGCTAAACATATTTACCTAGACTGTTAAGTAACGCAAAGGCTAAACATATTTACCTAGACTGTTAAGTAAAGACGTTTATTTACTTGAGTACAGCACTTCAGGTTTTGGCTGGTTTGGAAGGAAACAACAATAATTAGGTAAACTGCTGGCTCTTGATTCGGCATAGCATGGTCATCGGAGGCCAAAATAATACCGTGGCTCTACTATTCTGCTGTATCCGAAATATACTAAAGGAGAAAAGTAACTGTGCATATAATTAAATTTCATAAAATAACAGTTATTTGAAAAGTAAAATTAACCAAAATAAAAATGCAGCATAGGCGTAAGAACGGTCCGGAGTTTGGGGGGTTGGGGGGATTTCAAACCGTGAGAGCGGGGGGTGGGTTATTTGTTTGCCAGGAAGATGACGACTGAAGATAATGGTCTCTGTAATCACAAACAAGTACCTTGTGGAGCATTCTCTTTATTTCTCATTCATATTTTACACACGTTACTTTGTTGAATTATAGTAAGAATTCGCATGGCACACTAAGTCTTAATAGTCACCCGTCAAATGGCTTTAGAATCAATAATTGCCGTATAGGTAATGATGAAAGATGACACAAAAAATAGTTATATCTATTTGGGGAACGAAGCTGAAGCTATGAAAGATGAGAGTTCAGGTATCATATATTATTTGCTTTTCACCGTGGACGTTGTTTGGGGGAAATGATCCAAAGTGGCCTTGTCTTCTGTTATATTGCGATAATGCATCTTTTGTCAGCTGACACTGACTTTATGGTGTCGTGGAGCATCATTAGCTGTGTTTCCAAACAGGTGAAGTCAAAAATCCTCCTGTAGAGTTCGTTTGATACCTGAAAGTATTTTCCATATGCTGCAGACAGCAAAAGTTGATCTATTTCATGTACAATAACGAACCCTTTCTGTGAAAATCTTTTGGGCAGTTACCTGAAAGGACGACAAGAACTCCATAATACTGCTGACGATAGAATTGTTCAACAGAATCATATCTGTGAGGTTCTGAACTATCATCTAATGTCTTTGGTGTCTTTTTTCTGACTGGGGAGACAAGCGGGTCCTGTCTTATCTTCAGATTCCTGGACTATTCCCTAGAAGTATTCCGTGAAATTTTCTGACCTCAGTTTTGCATAATAATTCAGTACTTGCTGAGCAGCTTGTTTTGCATCCTGAGCAATTGTGTGTACACTCTGAGTGGAGGCTGATGGTTGTTCAGACGCAGCAAACACCTGAGAGGCAACCTACAGATCAAAGTATGTACTGAACTGTACAAGCCATCAGACCACCTGTAATTCTTGCATACTCGTCATGCCCCTGTGTGTCAATTTCACTTAATATTCTTTGAAGAACATCATAGTTTTCCAGAACAGTGTTCACAGACCCAGCCCTGACAGTCCATCGTGTTGGACAAAGAGGCCTTAGACCGTGTGCCTTGTGTGTCTCTTCAAAATCAATTTCTTCAGACATCTCTTTTGCATGAACTTTTTTGGACATTCAGAAAGAGGTGTTCTCGCTTTGGAGAATATTTGATTGATTTTGTTATCTCCGTCGTTACACCAAGAACATCCCTTAAAGGCTTGTAGGTTCTCCCTGCTTCAAGGTTAAGGCAATGGGCAAGGCAATGGACGTGAAGTGCCCTTGGTTCATCACGTTGGAGTTGGGCAGCAACTCCACGGATGTGTCCAGAGACGTTCCTGGCTCCATCATAACCTTGTCCTCGACAGTCTGAGAGGTAATTCACGACGTGCCAGTGTGTCATAGATACAGTATGTTATCTTATCAACACACTCATGACATCATGTATGATTTATAGCGAACATACCGTTTCGATGTGATACTTTTTTTGTCTCGAAAGACAGTTTCTGCTTCCAATCAACGTTCAAAGTCACAGCATTGGAAACAAACGAACTGGTGATGTATCCAATTATTTGCGAGCCTCATAAATAAATAAGCTTATATTTTTCTCATATATATTCGCAAATGAAGGAACTTATATAATTACTTCATCGTGCATCTGAACTTTGGGGGAGCATTGCACTTTAATAATTGTGCTCAATGAACTTACTCTTTGCGTAATTTTTTACACCTGAAGTTCACATACCTGATATTGAAGAACGGTTGGTTATTCTCTGCCTTCTGAATGTTGTGGAAAACTCGTTGATTTCAACAGTGCGTACGTCATGCCACGGCTTATAGAAAATCAGCGTCTCCGCGTCACGGGTATGCTGGTAACTGGAATGGCCCAAACTGAAGTGGCCAGACATTTTGGTGTTCTTCGAAATACGATTTCATCTCTGTCGAGACGTTTTCATCATATCGGGAACACAAGAGATTTGCATAGTATCAGTCGTCCAGGCGTGAGCAAGACATTCGGATGACCCATCTAAAGAATCGATTCCAGGCTACCGACTGAGGAAGCACAACATCCATCACCGAGGGCTAATTTGCAATGGTGCAGACAGCATCTACGGTACAGGAGACCAGATTGGGATGTTGTTTTGTTCACTGACGAGTCGAGATCAGTGTCCGAAATAGTTTCCAAATTTTGTTTGGCAGTCGGGCTAACTATGTTTGGAAATTACTAGCGCACAAAATAATTCACTAGCCCGAAATTTGAATATAGAAACTAAGCAAAATATTACAAAAAGGCAAATTACCATAAAAAACCAATGACCCCATGAAAATTCACTAGCAAGTCGAGCCACTGACTGGAGATCTACTGGCCCGACTAGAGTTTTACTAGCCAGCGGGCCAGTGGCTATTTCGCAGACTGGTCGAGATTGCATCTGGACAACTCAGATGACAGGGCAAGGATGTACAGCCGTCGAGGTGAACGGAATAGCTGACTGTTCAACGTCGACAGTTTGGTGGCGAAAGCGTTATGGTACGGGGTCATCACATCTCATGGTCGGAGACATCTTGTTATTGTTAATGGCAAACTAACAGGTCGGCGATACAGGGATAAGATCACTGGGCCTATGTGCAGCCGTTCATTCAGCGACAGAGACGTAACTTCACGCTTCAAGATAATGCCCGTCCACATGTCACTCGTGTTGTAA